ATTAAATAACCATATATATTATGTATCTGTTTGTAAGTTGTTTTTACACAAAATTTATATTATTTTTCTAATAGGATTCTTAAAAACATTGTAACACTTTATTTTAATTCTTCATTGTAAATAATTCTGAAGCTTGAAGAAATAGAGAAGTACTGTTGAGAATAAAAAGAAAGTGTTTTACATTAGTACAAATATACTAAAGTTGTTGATAGCTAGATGAACTAGTTTTCTTATAGAAATGATTATCCTAATTATTATCTAATATAACTTTTATATTTATGGATGCAGATAAATATTAAATTAAAATATGTATTTACAAATAAATTAGAATTTCATTTTTATAGTATGCCATGGTGTACCATAATCCTTGAATTTAGTTCCATATTTTTATCCAAGTTATATTTATATGTTTATTGTTTGGAAACATATTTGGTAATTTTTAAATTTTCTTTAACGTGTTACAGTAGCTCCAGTTAAAGCTTTATGTACTGAACGATTTAAAGATTGGGAATTCAAGTTTCGAAAATTAGGTTTAAAAGCCATTGAAGTCACTGGTGATTCAGATGAAGGAAACCTTATGGCTATCCAACACTTTAATCTTGTATTAACTACTCCAGAAAAATGGGATTCACTTACGAGAAAATGGAGAGACCACATAACACTTGTTGAAGTCATTAAACTGATTCTCATAGACGAAGTAAGATATTAAACCATATTATGTATAGCTGTAAGTAAATGTATAGATGATGAATAAAGGGTCGGTACTATTCTCAATACTATTTTCAATGTACAAGGCTGAAACTGTTGGAACAAAGTAGAAAGGTAGAGCCGTGGCATACGAGATCTCTAGGAAGGTGGAGGAGGCTTATGAAAAAATCACAAAGAAACTGGAAGGACTAAATATTACAGTTAATCTGAAGAAACCCACTATTTCATTTTTCCTTCCAGAAGAACAAGCCTCCAATTTCTAAGGTCTATATGGTAGCAGGCCAAACTAATAGGCTGGTAGAGAGTATAGTGTACTTGGATGTCATCCTCGACAGGTATCTGACACTATTCTGATACTGCCACAATAAGATTAGGTTGGTGAAAGGTAAGTCTTACAGACTATACTATTTAATGACACCACCAAATCTATACTTCATTATTAGTTTATATAAGTTTACTCTATACCGCCTCAAATTATTAGTTTATAAAAGTCATATAACACTGATGCAAGTTTCAGCATGGAGTGCAGACATATTGTTAGACACACTTTATAACAGTAGACAAAAACCGGCCAACTCCACAAGACCTAGGAACTGTGATGGATTTCATAACACGCAGGCATATTAAATTCTTTGATAGCCTGGAATACGTGGCTAATATACATTTTAGAATGCTGATTCCGATGGAATGGCCATAGAAGTGGCAAACACCTACAAAAAATCTCATGGTTCACTAGACTTAGTACTACTGATTAACTGGACTGAGAGAAGACAACTAGTGATCACTAGAATATCGATTCAACACTTATAAATTTTTCATCAATTTCATGTCCTCATAAATCCCTTGTAATGCACCTTATATATGCAATACAAGGAATTCTATCTCTTAAAATTAAGTTATGCAAATTTCAATAACACTTCATTGTGATTAAAAAAATAAAATTAAGAACATGTTAAAGAAAGAAAAAGTGAAAATGGTAAGTTCTTAGGAAAAATAGATAAACATTTTTTTTTATCTAGATCTGAAAAACATTAACAGGTAGATAGTTTTGGAATTGAGTCAGAAACAATCATCAAATAATTGCTTATTGTTTAATCTAAGCCAACGTTTTGACCCACAATGTAGTAGGTCTTTATCAGAACTAAAAAAAAAAAGTAAAAAGAAGATGAAATTACTGTAAGAATATAAAAGATATATAAAATAACATATGTAAATACGAATGTACAAAAATTGGAAATAAAATAGATGAAAAACTATAGTATCTGATAATTATCAGATTATACAAATTATAATTGATCAACAAAATGAGTTTAATAATCTGATGGACCGATATACTAACCAAGTAATACCTTACCTTATTAGTTATTATATCTATCTTTTTGTTTCTACAATAATATCTTCACCTTGCTTTATTTCTTTTTAGTAGTAAAAACACCTACAAAGTGGGTCGGTCGAAACATCAGCATATAATAAATAACTAGTAATTATTTGATGTTTTTCCATCCCACTCCTAGACCATCTTGTTCTTGATTATCATAAGATCACAAATAATAAAATATTTTTATATCGTTTTATTGCCATTTTTCTTTACTTAAATTAGTATTCATTCTGATTTTCCGTAGGTACATTTGTTGAATGAAGAAAGGAGAGGATCCACATTAGAAGCTGTAGTATCCAGAATGAAAACTATTCAAGAATCTTTAATGCCAAACGATAACCACATAAGATTCCTTGCTGTTTCTGCAACGATTCCTAACATAGAAGATGTTGCTAGCTGGTTAGGAAAAAAAAATGAGTCAGCCAAGTTCTACAAGTAATCATTGCTATGATTGTTGATTAATACATTATCATTTCAGCGTTTATTGTTAATCAGTTTTAGTATGACTGAAATCTTATTTTTCCATTTTTGCCTCTTATTTAGGTAATTGAACTTTTATCCTTGCAGCGTTTTAAATAAAGATTTTACAGAAATTTTATTTTATTTTTTTAAATCATTTAAAAGTTCTGTTGAATCAGCCAAAAAGTTGATCTGAAAAAATACTTTTATTCTCACCTACTCAAACAAATGACACATTTGTGTAATTCACATAAAATAAATTATAATTCTAATCTATGCCTAATTTTTGATAATTTCTCATTAATTTAACTCATTAATTTAAATCATTTAAATAGATAAAAGTTAAATTTTTACTTTAAACCTAGAAATGAATAAAGCTCCTTAGAACTTTCATTTTTTTTTTTTTTTTTACCTAAAAAGTTTCATAGAACTTATTGCTTTTTAAAAACTTGGAACTTTTTAAAAAATTTCAACTACTGATTTAAATATTACCACACATTTTTATACATTTAACACCATTTAAATTACATTTTCATATTTTTGGTTTATTATTTTTTAAAATATGAGAAAAATATAAATACTTGAAATTAAAAATAGCTAACTAAAGCTTTGCGATGATTATGATATACGGTTTGAAGATTTTTTTTTTTGTAATAAAGGCCACAGGTATTTCTTGAAATTTAAACACAGCCAAGTTCTACAAGTAATCATTGCTATGATTGTTGATTAATACATTATCATTTCAGCGTTTATTGTTAATCAGTTTTAGTATGACTGAAATCTTATTTTTCCATTTTTGCCTCTTATTTAGGTAATTGAACTTTTATCCTTGCAGCGTTTTAAATAAAGATTTTACAGAAATTTTATTTTATTTTTTTAAATCATTTAAAAGTTCTGTTGAATCAGCCAAAAAGTTGATCTGAAAAAATACTTTTATTCTCACCTACTCAAACAAATGACACATTTGTGTAATTCACATAAAATAAATTATAATTCTAATCTATGCCTAATTTTTGATAATTTCTCATTAATTTAACTCATTAATTTAAATCATTTAAATAGATAAAAGTTAAATTTTTACTTTAAACCTAGAAATGAATAAAGCTCCTTAGAACTTTCATTTTTTTTTTTTTTTTTTACCTAAAAAGTTTCATAGAACTTATTACTTTTTAAAAACTTGGAACTTTTTAAAAAATTTCAACTACTGATTTAAATATTACCACACATTTTTATACATTTAACACCATTTAAATTACATTTTCATATTTTTGGTTTATTATTTTTTAAAATATGAGAAAAATATAAATACTTGAAATTAAAAATAGCTAACTAAAGCTTTGCGATGATTATGATATACGGTTTGAAGATTTTTTTTTTGTAATAAAGGCCACAGGTATTTCTTGAAATTTAAACACAGTTCCTGAAAAAAAAATGAATAAATTATTGAATTTAAATGGACTTTGGTTATTTTTTATTTAGGATAAATGTTTGATTTTCTAAAGAATGGAATAAAAAAACCTATACCACTAAAACCCATTAGGTGTCTTGAGTAAATAAGTCATAAAAATTTCAATTTAAAAATCACATTGATGACCCACCTCACTTTAATTATTTTTTATTCTTCTATAAATGGAATCCAAAGTCAGGAGGTATAAGTTGTATATAATGTAATTAAAAAATTACATTATGATTAAAAGTTGCCAGATATAAAAGTCGACTATAATAATGTAGTCCATAGGTGGGGAACTGCGGCCTCGGAGACCTCATGTGGCCTCTGTGATGTAGTTGCGGCAACAGAGGCCACATGAAGCCTCCAACATTTTTTGTGCTGTGCTTATTAATCTAGCGCTAGAATTAATTAATATTTAATTATTTCAGTGACAGCAATTTGGAAATTAATAGAATTAAGTTGAATATATGTATGTGGGTGTGTGTATTTACTGATAAACAAAAATAGCAATAGTAAAATATAAAGAATTATTGCTGCCTCCTTTAGCGCTGCCTAATTTTACTGCGGACTCTAATGATCAAAAGTTTCGCCACCTATGATATAGTCAATAATAAAATAATAATATCATAAATATGCAATGTTTCATTTACTGTCTTTCTACTAATAAAATTTTTTTTATTAGGTTTGGAGAAGAAATGCGGCCTGTTCTGTTGAACAAAGTGGTGAAAACATTTCCGTTTAATGAAAAAATGTCTTATTACAAATTTGATTTGAATTTAAGTTATAAATTGAAACAAATTATTCTTGATTATTCAGAAGGGAAACCAGCATTGGTATGTTGATAAGTTAATTTCACCTAATCCTTATTATCATAAGATCTCCCTCTGAATCTGAAATTGAAACCCATTCACCTGTAAATCTTTATTTCATGTTGTCATGAGATGATACCAAGCCAGACCAATTATCAAATATATTTTATACTTTTATATTATCATTGTTCTTCGAATGTTACAGATATTTTGTAGCACAAGAAAGTCAGTTCTGCAAACAAGCACTATTCTTCTTCAAAACATTACATTTCATTTCACCACTGTTCAGAAAATTACTCTCGAAGAGGCCTGTGAAAGTTTGCTGGATTCTAAATTGAAAGGTATTTATAAACTAAATATCAAGAAACTTACTGACATTGGTACATAAACTTATTATACTAGAGAAGTAATCAATTATACTAGAATGACTGAAAAGATAATCAATGCTGAACCAGTAGATAAGTGCCTAAGAGATCTTTTGTTTTTTGTCTGGGTTTAGCATAGTGAAAAATTTTGGCTATGACAATAGGTATTATTGACATAAACAATATTGGCTCCCCTACAAAGGCCAGAGTAGCCCTCTGTGGTCTATAGGCTATAAGTATCTCCTTCCTGAGATAAGCGAGGTGCTTAAGAATCTCATAGCAACAAGCTTACATGAAACTCCTCCAAGGACAAGCAACCCATATTAATACCCATATTAATACCAATATTAATGCTGCGTCTGGAAGAGGTGCAACCGTGGACCAGCTCCAGACGCAGCAGTCGTAGAGAAGAGGTCGTCCTCACGCGGCTGAGGATCGGACATACTAGACTGACTCACCTCTACCTCATAACAAAAGATTCTATCCCCCGATGTCAAAAGTGTAACCAATCACTAACTATAAAACATATTTTGGAAGAATGCCCTTTTTACACCGCAAGATTAAAAGATTTTGGAATACCCCAGAATATATCAGCATCCCTGGGAAATCAAGAAGAAATCGTTACCAAAGTCATCAAGTTCTTGGATAGTGAAAAACTTAAAAAACACATTTGACAGGCTTTTTTTATTTATTTTTTTATTTATTAATTTTTTTTTATCTATTTATTTTTATTATAATTTCTCTTATTATTATTTATTTATTTATTTTTTCACTTGATTTCATTTCATTTTAAATTCATTTGTTTATTAATCTCAATTCATTTATTGATTCTACTGCTATTTTTTAAAGTTTATTTATTATACATTTTTTATACATCTTATTACCTATAAATGTCTATTATTACCCTTATTTATCTATTTTATTCTATCAATCCATTTCTTTATTTATTTTATTTTTTATTTTTTTATTATTTTTTTTTATTATTTTTTTTATTTTATTTTTTTTTTTTTGTACCAATCATCCAAATAGTATTAAATGATGTTATTTAGTTGATGATCTGGATGTTTTCCGCCTAGACATCGAAACAAACAAACATATTAATACAGTTCTACCAAGGAAAAGATAACCACTATTGCCCTGCTTAAGTTGGTAAGTACATAGAAAATAAGCAGCAGCAGTAATGTCATATTCTTGTTGTTAACCATAACCATAACATAACCGTGTCTTTGACAATATCTGGTAGCCATGAATCCTGCTGCACACTAGCGGATCTAGAATTTAATTTTGGGGGAGCTTCAGCCCGGAAGCTTTTTTTTCATATATGTAATGATAATTACTTTGGAAAAACAGAAAGATACTAACTACCTATATGAAATAGTGTTTAAGTTAAATTCTTGAAGTTAAATGTAATTAAATGAGCATTAATACTTTAAGTTTAAATTTTTAATATTTTTTACCATAAAGCATGGTTACATTTTACCATTTTTGGGAGGGAGGGAGGTCTTCAGCCCGAAAGCTACTATTGTTGACAGCTACTTCCAGGACAGTCCTAGGTCTGGTTCTATGGAAACTACTATTTCATGAGTTGCTGGGAGTGCTATGAGGGAAGAAAGTAGTCCCCTGCCACAGCTTACCTTGAAGGATCAAGCAGTTTTAATGATGTCTAATAGCATAGATAATATATAAAAAGAAGCAGAATATGGCGTAAAAGTAAATAATTGTGAATCATCACTGCAAAGACTCAGGAGATCCTTCTGAATAGAAACTGTCAGAGCAAAGACTCGGAGCACTGATTTTTCAATATTTACAAAAAACAAAGAGATTATGGTCACAAACCTTTGTAAAAGGTTTGGAACAGGATTTAATGTGACCTTAGAAACAGATCTTTGAGCCTTGAACAGCCATCAGAACAGTCACCAGAGGAGTGCTTTTTGTGGGTTCAGACACCTTTAGTCTACATGATAGTTAATGACCAAAAACTGGTAAGTAATGTTAATTCACATTCATATACTTATTTCATAACTATTACTTCTCTTCTGAATTGTGCGACTTCTAAGATTAAAAGAATCAATAGGATAGATATCTATGGATCTAAATCAACAAGAATGATTGAGAAGTTGTTGTAAGATCAAGGCCCATCCTGCACTGTAATGCTGGATATACATGGCTATATTTTTATAACTTAAATTTCACATGCACATGGCAAAATAAGTTATATGTAGATCACTTATTTTTTGACTAATTAATGATCAAAACCAGATATAGACTATATATCTGAATCGGTTGTGTAATGAATGTGTTGTAGTGAAGATCCAGTGTCAAAATAATATATATCAGTAACATTTACATGGATAAACATTCAAATTTGTGGACAGTAATTTTCTTTTTTTTGTACAGACATGGTGAAGTATGGTGTTGGATTCCACCATGCAGGATTGAGTGCTTCTGATAGACATAACATTGAGGAGCTATTTAAATCTGGATTTCTTCCCATATTGGTTTCAACAAGTACTTTAGGTAATGTTATTATTTCCTGTACATTATCATTCTCATAATAACCATTCTATGAATTTCAAAAACTTTTATATTTCTTATTCATATTTCAGCAATGGGTGTTAACTTGCCGGCACATTTAGTTATAATTAAGTCCACTGCCCAGTATGTGAATGGCTCATGGGAAGAATATTCTGAGGGACAAATTCTTCAAATGATGGGCAGAGCTGGTAGACCCCAGTTTGACTCTTCTGCCACTGCAATTATTTTGACTAAAAACACATTGAAAGTAAGTTTTAATTTTAATTTATTATAATGTGGAAACTTCTTGAAAATGTAAGCTAGTCTTTTCAGCCTGGAAAGTGGCAGCGTTATTGTCCATTGCTTCCTCACATCCATTTTTTCCCAATGATTGCAATTTCCTGTTTGATTTTTATACTTTATTACCCTGTAATATTATTAAATTTTATTTTTTATTCATTCAGGATTTTGTTTCTTCCATATTTATACAAATTTCCACTAATATGTTCATTAAATAACCAATAATGCATAAAATAACATGATGCATTCCGGTCAGACTCATAGCCGGATTTTACTTCAGAGAGGGCTGATCACTTCACAATCCTAATAATATTACTTACATTGACATGTTTTCTCTGGAGAACTATATAATGTAATCTATCTAAAGTATAGTTTAACTGAAGTTTTAATTAATTTATAATTTTGTTTAAGATCATCTTGTCTTACAATTGTCTAAAGCTTTTCTATAAATCTTGAATACCATTATACTCATATTAGGATTCAGTTAAGTACATTATTTTATGTTGTTTTTGAGAAGCAGAAAAATAAAAATCAACAACTAGAATGTATTAAACTTCTTCCACTTACGGTAAACGCACCAGTAAGCTGAAATGCTTATGGAAATTTCTTTGAACTTTTGGATGTAAAAACTTAAATATTATTTTTTTTTAAATGTTATAAATTTTATTGTTTTATTCTTGGATTCACCTTATATAACTACTTCTCACCTTGCCAAGATACATTTAAAATTCATGAAACATTCTCCTCTATTTTTAAAAACAAAACTGTAGAGAATAGTTTTGTTGTACCTTGTTTGGTTTGAAATGTTCCTATATCTGAAGAGGGTAATTATGCGAAATAAAGTGTTGAAATTTTATAAACAAACATTACATTTACTTTATTATAAAATTAATTTCTTGCGTTCCCCGATTTAAATTTATCGGTAAATGCTGTACACTGTCGAGAACTTGTTTTTTGCAATAGGAAAGCCTATTTTTGCTTTGTATTTGATCCATGTCACTAGCAATTTTTCTTTAAATCAGAGAATAGTGAATGGTCCATTTTTAAGACCCATTATATTGAGTATATCTCTTTGAATTTCTGCGAATGCAGACCTGTCGACAACAGGCAAAAACTCCAAAATAAGGTTCCAATAGCTGACGCTCATTAAATTTTGTAATTCCTTTGACAATTTATGTTAAAATCAGGCAAGAAATAATCTAAAAACACTCCTAGAAAAAATTAAATGAAAATTTTGAGATAAATCAAAGTAATTAAAGAGGAAAAGACAAACCAAAGGTATGATGTCCTTACTGAAAGATCGTTGTTCCTGGGACATGAAGTGGACTGTGGGAGACCTTCCTGATTTGCCACCATTTATTTCAGTAGTGGTTCCCAGCAAGATTAAACCAAAGCAGAGAAATATACAAAGAGAAAATATAGCAACCACAAATTCATGAAATAGAGGTCTAGGAGGTCCTGAAATTTTATTAATTCCGTTTTTCAAGGTACTGGTGCTTTTATCATAAAATTATCAGGCTGTAAATGAGTTTATGATCAGAGATTTCAGAACATAGCAGGATCACCATCATCTTATTTTTTATATTTATAAAGACAAATGGCAAAAAAAGATATCAGTAACCTGTTAAATTACATTATGTATTTAATTATTTGTAATTAATATAGATTTTATTGAATAATAAATGAAAATTTAACGTCTCTGTTTGTACAATGAATCGGTATAAGTTCATGTGTTCCTGAGATTTCACATAGCTACAATTTATAAGTAATAAATGGAAATTTTAAATCAGAAATTTTGATTATTTAATGTGAATTGTATTATCAGTTTATTGCAAAAACTCACCAATTACATTTTTGATTAAGCTGAACTTATAAGAACAGTTTTATTAATTTCAACCTTCTATAATGATAAAACAACACAGTAAGTGCCACAAAATGAAACAAACATTTGTGTCAAATATATGACAGTTAAAACAAATCCAGAATATTCGGATTCCACTTTGACTTTTTGCAATAAATTGACAATGTATTGTTTTTTTGAAAATTTCGTACACAAATAAGAGTATACAAAGATAATTTTAATTTCTTATTTATCATAAATTATTTTATATTTATTTGACTTTAACATTTTATTTTTTTAACAAGTTATTTAAAAATAAAATTACAGTTTAATTAGTTTTATTTAGGCAGATAAATAATAGGCGAGCTTAGATGTATATTCTTTATATTTAAAAAAATGTATAAAATGAACTAGTAATCATTCTCATAGTTGAAGGATTGCTCAGTTGCTTTTTTTGTTTGGCAGCCACGTAACTATAAACCAATTTACTTTTGTTTATATCAATTTCACGAGGAACCAAATGGGTTTGCGTTTTCTTGAAATGAAATTTTTGGAACAAATCCTGACTCTCCTTCAATATAATAAGTCACTGTCATCAATCTTCCATCAGGCAACAAAACTTGATACGAGCCTTCGACACGTCCAACTTCATTGCCAGCTTCTTGAGCACCAAAGTAGAGCGTTTTCTCAGGATCTTGTACTTTATAGTCATATTGATACTAGAAAAAAAAACAATAATTAGCAATATTGCTTAAAATAAATGATGGAAAAAATATGTGAGCCATTAATTTAACAAAAGATTAAAGGGTACAAACTATAAAAAAAGAAAATAATAATAATAATGTAATGCAGTTGATGTACTCAGTTAAATTAACAATTTTTTTTTAATTATTAAGATCAATATGCTAAGGATTAGATGGTGACATATTGCTTGATTTATGTTCATGGACTATTTGAGTTTTTGAGCTGTAACTGTGCAAAGTTTAACTAAAAAATTAATATATATACATATTCCAAAAAATCCTAATACAATTTAGATTACAAGTATGTTAAAATACACCTAAAAACAGTATAAATTACAATATTAATCCTACTATAATTTATTCATACCGGCATTGGTTTTTCTGTTGATAAATCTTGAGGTGCTCCTCTAATTACAGCTATGAAAGCAATTAAAATAAAAGTGATGGTGTAACCAACCATGTTTGAATCTAAAATCAGAAATAATTAAAAATGTAGCATAAAATAGCAATGATGTTTTGCTAATGGTAAGCACAAATAATGTTTAGGAATAACAGCACAATAATGGAGCTGTTACAGCAGTACCATTATTCCAAAATTGCTTTGTTTCATCTATCATCAAAAATGTGAGAGAAAAAATGCTAATTGGAGTATAAGTTACTTAAAATTAAAAAATAAAATAAGAAGGATCATTGAACTTATTTATAATGTCAAGTACATACTGTCGTTCTCTCATAGGACTGTTTAAATCAAGGCTTCAACAAATTCAGTACATTCTCTAGTGGTGGGTTAAACAAGAGACCACACAGTATAAAATGATATGGATTGATACCATATATGGGAAGTATAAACTGTACAGTTAAGTTTGATGAGGCACAGTAAATGTACAGCTTTAGATTCCCAGACAAGCCAGACGGGAAGGCACCCAGGAGATGAGATGGGTGACCTCCAATTTTCACTCCTTGATCCAGTTCATCCACCCTGAGAATGATCTAGAGTAATGGCAGAGGTCAGAAATATGTACTAAGAGAATCTTCTCTATGCTTACAAATGGAGTATAGTATAGTAACATATTCTCAACTAGACAAACTATATCATGCAGAAGAATTAAATTGGAGTATACTAAAAATTATATGAAGAAGGATTGAAACTTTTGTATATTGTATGAGTTCCTTCTTCAGTCCTTTGGTCCAATTCCTAATCAAAGCAGTAAACTTAATTAAGTTATTTCTTGTAGAACAGTTTTATATTTAGAAAAGTTACATATTTTACTTCAAAAGCTATACTCATAAACAAGTGTTAGTGTTCTTTCAAATAAGGAAACTAAATGAGTTATCACTAAGGTTTCTCAATTCACACACCTTGTACTTCCTGTGTAGAACACGATAGACACGCTCTGAAGATTTCTGGTTGTCTGAAGGCCTTTCACATTTGTTTTATTTAATACTGTAAATCAAATGAATTAAACCGTGAACAAACACATTAATGCATTAAAATAAAATAAAATTTCGAATAAAGTTGGAAAATGTTTGGAAGAAGAAAACGTAATTTTATATATATGTGTGAGATAAAAACTGAACTACAAATTAACACTTTATGCCTTACTATCCTATTCTCTGTCTGCTCTTAAAATCCATATCTTTATCAAGGTTTTAAAACATGGATTATATGTAATAGGTTTTATAGGTTTATGCCTTTTTTTTTTCTAGGCTAAATTAAAGTTTCAGTTTCTTCATAACTTGTGTCTCTGAAATTTCGGGATGATGTGTCTATTTTTCCCAATCGATAGAAAAGGTTATCTTTAAAAGATGACTCAATCATTGGATTTGATGAAGAATATGGGTACCGACAAAAAAATACATTTCAGAAATAATATATAAAGGTAGTGCAGTGCTGAACAGGTTTACGTAGATACCAGTTCATTGTTTATTTATTTTTTTTAAATAATCAAGCTATACATCTAGAATATTGCAATCGTTAATTATAATGATATTAAAATTGTCTAATAACTCTCTGCTAAAAAATATAAACCGAAAATAAGAATAAACAAATTACCTGATACATTTCTAATCGATTATAATGGGTTTTTTTATTTTGTAGGGAATTTAGTAACCTTTCAAATAGGCGTGGGTGTAAACAAGCATAAATCGTATACTTTTTGAGTTATACACAAATAAAATTTCATATTCTATGTAACATTTTTTCCTAAATGTTTGAGTGGATGTGCCTATTGTTTCCATATGGGGGAAGGAATCATTTTTACAACTATGCCTCAATCATTGGATTTGATGAAGATAAAAAAATTAAAAAAAAAACTACGGTGTGTGCTTTAGACCAACAAGGCGAGATTAATAATATGAAGTATTAATTTTTCTTTCCTTTTTGCC